ATCAATGTGTGTGTGTGTGTGTGTGTGTGTGTGTGTGTGTGTGTTCTTTGAATGTGCTGATCCCTTTACCGATGCAGGGCTTTTGCACATGCCATTCCCTCTGGTGGAACACCAATCCTACTCCTTCCTGGCAGCAGAGCATAGTAGTTGTTGACTAAATTGTGCCTTCCCCCCACCTCTCTTTCTTATGTTGAAATCCTAACCTTCAGTACCTTAGAATATGATTGTTATTTAGAAATAGGGCCTTTAAAGACGTAATTAAGGTAAAATGAGGTTATCAGGGTAGGCGCTTATCCACTAGGACACAAACACACATCGAGGGAAGAGCATGTGAGGACACAGGGAGAAAGCAATCTACAAGCCCAGGCTAGAGGCCTCAGGAGAAATCAATTCTGCTAACATCTACGTCAGATATCTGGCCTTCAGGATTGTGAGAAAAGAAGTTGTCATGGCTGCCCTAGCAAACTGTACAGTCGTTAAGCAGCTGAATTCTGAAGCAGTCTTCCTAGTTGTAAAACCTGCTGCTGTCAATTCCTAGCTGTGTAACTTTGGGCAAATTATTTACCCTTTTTCTATAAAATGGGGATGATAGCAATAGTACCAATAGAGTGACAGCCATCTGGTCTGCCCCAGTCTGAGGGGTCTTCTGGGATGCAGGACTTTTTGTGCTAAAATCTGACGAGTCACCCTACACTGAATATGGTTTCTGTGAAACTGAATGAAGAATTCCTAGTACATGGTAAACACGCTAAGTAACAGGTATAGTTACTATTAAATATATTTCAGATTTAGATTAACTGTTAAGTCTGAAATACTTTCAGGGAAAGAGATACTTTCCCTGACCCCATAATCTGGATTAGGACTCCTTGTTAGGTTATTTTTTATTTTTTAAAAAAAGTTTTTATTGATTTTAGAGAGAGAAGAGAGAAACATCAATTGGCTGCCTCCTGCATGCCCCCTGCTGGGAATCCAGCCTGAAACCTGGGAATGTGCCCTGACCTGGCATTGAACCTGCCAACTTTTGGTGCATGGGTTGAGGCTCAACCACCTGAGCCATGCCAGCCAGGACTCCTTGTTAAGTTCTTTCATAGCATCTGGTTCTTTTTTTTTGGTCAGTGGTTTCCCAAAATCCATTCTCCTTATTTCCAATAACAATAGGACCCCTGATTTCTAACTGGGCACACGGCTGCCTGGAATAAAGACTATTTCCCAGCTTTCCTGGTAGAAGAGTAAGTTTTGACCAATGGGCTATGAGCCAATGCGATATGTATAAATTCTGGGTTGTACCCTTCAAGTGGCAGGGGAAAAATTGACATCTGTATTTTCACTAACTGCTAACTAAAATTCAGAGAGGGAGAGGGAGAGAGATAGAAACATAAATGATGAGAGAGAATTATTGATGCCTCCTGCACGCCCTCCACTGGGGATGGAGCCCACAACCTGGGCATGTGCCCTTGACCGGGTTGAACCTTGGGACCCTTCAGTCCGCAGGCTAACGCTCTATCCGCTGAGCCAAACCAGCCGGGGCTGGAGAGAGTTCTTGGACCCCCGACCACAGAGTTTAGGAGAAACGTTACGCTGGAGGCACAACTGCAAATACATAGCCAGAGTTGAGAGTGAAAGCTAAAGAGGGTATATCATGGAGGGGCTCTATCCAACGCGCAGGAATGATGGTCCAACAGGGAAGGGTCACGATCGGATGGATGCACATTTCAGAAAGAACCGGGCTGGCTGCAGCATGAGCAGTTTAGGCAACTCAGGAGGCAGGAGGTGCCAGCCGGGACCCAGATGCAGGCAGCTGCTGGCTTGCACCAGTCCAGGTCGTCGCAACTAGACCCAACTCTAATACCGAGGGGCCTGAGGATAAGCGAGTACCAAAGGAGGCTCACCTACTATGGAGATGAACGTTTAAAAGTTGCACATCCAGCTAGCAATCTGTCCAAGTATTCTCCAGTCTCCTACCTGGGTGCATACATCTTTCGAAGGAGCTGGCGGGGGGCGGGGGAGGCTGGCGGGAGCGGTTGCTTTGACGCAGGGCTTTCCTGGAGCCGAGCAGCAGCAGCGAGCGCAGCGGCGGCGCGGAGCAGAGAACCACAGCGACCCCTGCCGCTCCTCCGAGCCACGGCGTCCCA